CTGCAGAATGAGACTGTTTCACAGCCCTGGAGTAGTAATAGGGTCAGGGTGAGACACTCACCTTTCAGGGAAGGTGGGCCCAGGATCTAAGGGTCCATGGCTCCAGGGTGCTCATCAAGATAAGAACTCATTACTGAAAAGAGGGTGTCAAAGCTGGGTTAGCAGCAGTAAAAAGGCAGCTGTAACAAAGATTTCACATCTTCTGCCCAGGTACAAGGTCTTCTAATAAATAGTTCATCTTAATATCATAGATGATGGAAATGTCCTTGCCTCCTGGTGCATTTTCCAGGTGTTTCCAAGATGCTTGTGTGCCCACCATCTCTTATCCACACAACAACTGGATGATCTTTTAAGAATATAAATTGGATCCCTTCATTCCCCTGTGTAGAACTCTCCTAGGGCTTTCCATTCCTACCAGGATAAAATGCAAGTTCTAGGAGTCCTGGCATCCCTGGCCCTAACCACCCATTCCCCCATACGGTCTCATCACTGTCCTCTGTGCTCAGGAAGCCCCAGTCACTCTGGTCTCCTTTTTACTGTATTTTTAAGACACGCCTAAGTGATTTCCACCTCAGGGCCTTTGCACTTGCTGTTTTTAATTCATATGTCATCACTACTTTACCTTCAGAAACTTTGGCTGGCTTATAGGCAAGAATTAAACAGCAAAGAAACTCCAAAATGATGTAGAATCTTTGATTTTGTGGGTTTGACACGGATTTATTTTCCCCTTCATTCTTACCCAGTTGAAGCCTAGAACAGTCTGACACCTTCATATTAGAAAGAGAGGACTGAAGACTGGAGACAGAATGGGACTTAAACATTCTTACCCAGTTGAAGCCTAGAACAGTCTGACACCTTCATATTAGAAAGAGAGGACTGAAGACTGGAGACAGAATGTGACTTAAAGCCACTCACATTTTGGGGAGCGGAATTGTCCAAGGATGCACCCAGAGGTTGTGACTTGGACTTGTGCAGAAGGAAATTTAATCTTAACTACTTGGACCTGCTGTATTTAACAATAACATAGTTATAATAATGAAACTTCCCTCCTTCCCCTCCCTTTCTTTTTCTCTGCTTTTAACTTTGCTGAGTCTAAGGTTGTATATAAGAGGCCACAGACAATCCTGAATTTCTCTTCCATTTGCATTATCCTATTTTTCTTTGTAATAAAATATTCTTTTTTGAGGCCAGAAGAGGGTAATTTGTAATTTATGAATTTCTCTCTTGAAATCACAACTAGAACCTAATTTAAAAAATCCAATTGGTTTCATCTAATTAAATTTGTCAATTACCTCATAAACACATGCTTTGTTATAAATGTTTTTAAAAGCAAGGTCTCTTGCTTACTGTCTGGGACTGGATTGGGTTAAGCCCAGAGTAACAGGTACTTCTCATCTCTCTACTCAAGAGAACATACTCTTCTATCAATTGCCAAAAGTTTCTCAAGAGTAGTATTTTCCAGAACAGTGCTTCTGAAACCGTAATGCCCATAGGAATCACCCAAGGATCTTGATAAACTGGAAAGGACTGAGCTGCTACATTTCTAAATAGCTCCCAGGTAATGCTAATGCCACTGGTCTATGGACCACGCTAAGTTAAAACATCTGTACCTGCATTTAGGAGTCCTGGGTTTGGCATCTGGGTAATATGACCTTGGTCTTTTCATTTTAACCCTCTGCACTCAATTTCCTCATTTTTATGTAATGGTAACAGCTAACATTTATAATGTTATTTCTAAATGCCAAACACTGTGCAAAACCTATATTTAATTGGATCTTCAGAGTAATGCTATAAGGCCATTTTATTATTACCTTGATTTTTCTGATAAAAGACTTAAGGTTCTGAGAGGCCACTTGATGTACTCAAGGTCACAGAGCAAGTAAATGTCAGAGCAGGGATTCAGATCTAGGCTATATGGGCTCAAATGTCACCATCCTTTTCTTAGGCCTCACTAGCTTTTGATACACATGACCACACTCATGTTTATGCTCACAATACAAAGGCCTAAATCTATAACCTCCTTAGCTGTCCTTACAGCATCCCTCAATAATTTTGGCATATTCCCCAAAAGTAGCCTCAAATGCTTACCAACAAGTCAATCAGTTACAATACTCTGGTTGTGGTTCTCTGCAATTACAGCCCAAGTCACAGCCAAGAAGCTACTTGAAGATATCTTTCATCATAGTTGTCTCCCATGGAATCCACGGGAATGCCAACATCCCTGGCATCTGATCTCTGAAAATCCACAAGGCACCGGATTCACACAGAAGTGAGAAGGACATGCTGCTCTAATCTGTACCCACCTTTGTGTGTGGGGCTTCAGAGACTGCACTATATAATAATGCCTCAATTACAGGAGGTTCTACTCAAACACAGAGTCTAACTCACAGTTGTGTTTGAACCCTTGCTCTCCCTCTGTTTCTTTCTTCTTATTATGGAATTTTAATTATGATATTTCTCAACCAGTCTAATGCATCATCCTACTAGAGGAAAATGTATATTGCTCTCAAGGATCCAGTCTAATGCATCACCCTACTAGAGGAAAAAGTATATTACTCTCAAGGAATAATCTGTGCAGAGATATGATTCCACCTGCAGCATCACCCTACACTAGTGGTTTCCAAATGCAGGTATGTACAAGGACCAGGGCTTTTCCATGACAAAGTTGCCATCAATCCAATGCAAAATTAGAAAAATTAATGTGACTGTCATGAGTTAGTAAAACATCATAAATTTATTCAATTTGAAGGATGGACTTTTATTCTGATATTATATCCTTTCTGTATTTTTGGAATTATGTCTTTTATAAAACAATGTAAATAAGAGATGTTGAACTACCCTAGGTTACTCCCCCAAAGCTTTTTAAATGCTACTGGCCTGTGAATTCCAAAAGTCTTCAACATCTGGCACAGAGCGTCTTTTACATAACAGTATCAAGTAACTTAACTTTCTAAATCAAGGGTCCTTTCCTTCTGCTTTACAAAGAAAAGTTTGCCAGGCACAACAGATCTTCATTTCATTTAAATATGTGTGTGTGTGTGTGTGTGTGTGTGTGTGTCTGTGTATGTGTCTGTGTATGTGTGTGTGTGTGACTGTGGTCTCTGCTTTACAAAGAATAGCATGTAGATTTGAAGTGATTGGATTTTGTTTCAGTTAATTTTCCAGTCCCTGTCTTTCCCAAAGAGGTTTTGAAAACGTACCAGGCAAGGTGTATTGGTATGAGTACCTGCCCTCCTCTTAGGGTACTCCCCAGGAAGAAAGCTTCTCCCAAGCGTGTGGCCTGAGAAAGCTCATAAGAGGTGGGGATGGATGTTTGTTTCCGCCTTCCATGTGGTAATCCTGAGAGCTGCACCAAGCTCCCTGCAATTTCTAAGAGGAAGATGTTAGCTCTCCTGAGGAATGCTATTTTAGTGAGATAAGGTGTTTTCTTAAGCACCTTGTACGTGTTGGATAATCTCCCTCAGAGAGTTCTCAGGACCATCGATGACTCTAGAGAAGTTATAGGTCTGTTAGATTAATCTTGAGTACTTTTCCTTCATCAAATACTCCTTGACTTTCCTCCCCAGAGCTCACCTTTCCTTATGGCAGCAATAATTCTTCCCCCCCAAGCCCACTCCCTATACATGCATGCTTCTGCATGAGCACTCAGTGGCTTAAGTCTCTTCATTGTCCTGTGGTACATGTTTTGGTCTGGGATGCTTGTGTCTTTCCCCCTTGTCAGACTCCCTAGGGAAACCCTGAAGAAGTAGTTACCACCTTTATTTTACAGATGAGAAAAATGAGGCTTAAAGAGAGGAGGACGCTACCAAAGGTAACTCAGGAGAAGGTGGAGCTACTAGGACACTAGGCTACATCATTCCGGCTTTGATATCCATGCCCTTCCCTCTGCATTGCTATGGGTTTCCATTTGATCTAGTATCACAATCTTATGATGTGTAAGAACACAAGGGATGGAAGAAGACTCAATCTTACTCACATCCCAGTACTTGAATCTTAGCTATATCACCTTTGTTGGAGATTTGTTTTGTTTTGTTTTGCAATAAACATTCATACAGTTTGTCTTATTTATGCAACTTTTCTGGAAGGCACATTGTGTTGGCCTGATGGGTACATTCCTGCCTGAGTAGGTTCTGGTTCATCTCTGATACGGTAAGGCCCTGCTAATGCTTGGAAGGGGGGCTTTGGACGCCATCACCTGGATGACAAAATATGCCTTGGACACAGAGCATTTTAAATCTCAAGCATCCTGTGTTCCTGCTGCAGAGAATAACATTGGGATTCTTTTCAAAGCAAAGGGACCGATATTTGTAGAGTGAGCGTCATGTGGGTATTGCAGTTTCCCAGATGAACTTTCACTACTGTTTGGCAGGCCTGGGCCTTCTCTTCTACATAAGAATAATCTGACTCCCTGGGTTTTGGCTCCTTTGTGGATGAGGTCAGTCATCACCACTGTCATTTCAATGCATGGTATGTACAAATTTCTTTGTCCTTGGGGCTACCAAGACAGTTCCACTGTGTGCCATTATGTTTGCACCCCATTGTATTGTCTTCTTTTATTTATTTATTTTTTTTTTTTGAGATGGAGTTTCACTCTTTTTGCCCAGGCTGGAGTGCAATGGCACGATCTCAGCTCACCGCAACCTCCGCCTCCTGGGTTCAAGCGATTCTCCTGCCTCAGCCTCCCGAGTAGCTGGGATTACAGGCATGCACCACCATGCCTGGCTAATTTTGTATTTTTAGTAGAGACGGGGTTTCTCCATGTTGGTCAGGCTGGTCTTGAAATCCCAACCTCAGGTTATCCACCCGCCTCAGCTTCCCAAACTGCTGGGATTACAGGAGTGAGCCACCGCGCCCAGCCCCCACTGTACTGTCAGAAACCTTTTTATAAGTCACATCTTACTCACCTTTATACCTTCAGTGGAATGGGTATTCACCAATGTCAGGCTGAAGTGACTTGAATAAAGCTAAGCCAATGGATGCAGCACAAGGGACCTCCTTACCTCATAGAGTGTGATGACCCCATTGGTCTCATTGGGAGGTTTCCACTGGATGTAGATCTTCTCCTCAAAGGGCCCCCCTTGGATGGATTCTAGAGGAACAGCTCCTGGAACTACAGAATGGAAAAGTTATGAACTTGACGTCACCTTCCACATCATTTCTCTAGCCCCACTAACCTAGAACAGGGGTTGACAAAGTTTCTATAAAGAACCAGACAGTAAATATTTTAGGTCTGATGGGCCATACATTCTCTATTGTAACTTCTCAACTCTGTCATTTTAGCACAAAAATGGCTATAGATAATCCATAAATGAATGGGTACAGTGGTATTCCAATAAAACTTTATTTATGAAAACAGGCAATGGGCTGGATTTGACCCATAGGCCATAGTTTGCTGACCCATTTTCAGAAGGCTGATCAGGCTTTTCATCAGCAGACTGAGCAAGTCGGTCTATGAACTGAACCTGATAAGGGTAGAAAGGACATGAGCAGTTTCCAGTTCTGCCAGAGGTGGGAATCTGAAAGGAGGTCTTTGCTTCAGGGGTGTCTAATCTTTTGGCTTCCCTGGGCCACACTGGAAGAAGAAGAATTGTTGTGTGCCACACATAAAATACACTAACACTAACAATAGATCATGAGCTAAAAAAAAAAAAAAAAAAACAACAAAAAATTACAAAAAAAATCTCAGAACGTTGTAAGAAAGTTTATGGATTTGTATTGGGCCACATTCAAAGCCATTCTGGGCTGCACGCAGCCCAGGGGCCGCTGGTTGGACAAGCTTGCTTTAGGATTTGTATTTTGAGAATGCAAAGTGAGCTTCCCGTCATCTTACCAAGCATCATTTTCTTTACTCTGCCAAGTTTTCTCTAACTTTAGGAAGTGCTTCGTCAGTTTCCTGACTAATTCCTGAATCCAACATGAACTATGTGGTTTGAAACCCCAATCCAATTAGAAGAAGCACGTCTTGCTCCAAGAAGGCAGCTAGCTTGACTTGCTGTTGAGTCCCAATGCCTGGCATGAAGTAGATGCATAATAACTATTTGCTGGTTGAATGAATAGGTGAATGAATGACCTACGCCAGCATTTTGCCCTAATGAGTGCAACCTTTCCTGGGGCTCCTTCTGTAAGCCGGTCAGCCTTCCTGCCAGCATCCTCCTGCTGGATTTCACTATTCTTACAACAGTCTGGAAGATGGTGAGCCAGAAAACAAATTATTCCCCAAACTTTCTGCCATAACCCCTTAGAAATAATGAATTTCAGTAAATTGTTACCAGATCTATTTATATTTTGGCATTATAAAAGCAGGTACTTTCACTAAGCACTTACACTTGGACTAGAATTTTACCTACATTATTTCACTTAAGCGACAGAACAGCTCTGCCCAGTAAGTATTATCTCCTTTGCGTCAATAAGAGAACTGAGGCAGAGAAAATGGAATAACTTGCTGAAGGTCATATGGCTCTTAAGTTGTAAAGAGGGAGCTAAACACCTGTCTGTGAGTTTTAAAGCATATACTCTTAATCATCACGCTACGCCTCTCTACATATAGCCTTGGCCATATGTTGCAATCAGTTCTCCTTTGTTAAAATATGTTCAGTTTTGCTCATTATGGACATGATACACAGAATTTGTTGAATATTAAGAATATATAAAAAGGTTAGAAAAAGAAAAAAACAAAATTACTCATAATTCAAATGTTCAAAGATATTTTCCAATCTTTTTATGCATATAAAATTTTATTTTAAAAAAGATATGCCTATTCATATATATATATATATTATTTTTTAAAAACGTTAACTCCTACTGTGCATATTGCATTGTGACCTTATTTTATCACTAAAGAAATCGCAGACTTAAAAAAAAAAGGGTGTTCTCTAGGGTCATACATTTTAATGGCTGCTTAGAGAGGGCGTTGCCCCTTTATAGTCACTGATCCTTTATTATTGGGCATTAAAGTTGGTTTGAATTCTTCATGACTTTGAGCAATGCTGGAATGAGCATGCTTATAGGTAAGTCCGTATGCAACTCTGCAGATAGCCGTTAAGATTAACGCTTCGGAAATCAACTTACTGGGCCAAAGTAAATGAACTATTTTATTTTAAAGGCTTTTGACATATATTACCAGATTGCCTTTCAGAAAGTTTGTACCATTCTGGACTCCCCAGCAGAAGACGATGTCTGTTCTTGCCAACACTGACTATATAAAAAATTAAGTGCATGTGTATGTGTATCTTTTTTAGAATACTGGAGAGTACAGATTTTGTTTTTAGTTTAATGAGCCATTTACATTGCTTCTTTTATGAACAAATTATCTATACCTTGTGCTCATTTTCCTGTATGGCTCTTCATTTCTGCTCATCTTTGTCTTACGGGCTTGTAATTGTAATTTCATTTTAAGGACATAAGCTTTCTTGCATAGGTTGCAAATATATTTTTGCCAGTTTTTTGTTGGCTTTTAAAATCGTTTATGTATGCAGAAGCTTTTAATTAGTCAGGTATCCTATTATTTTCCCTTATCCACCCTTCCTTTCCAGAAATATTTATTATGTATTTAATATGATCAAGGTACAGTGATGGACAGTAGAGATGCACCAATAACAACAAAATAGAGGTGAGCTCTATCCATGATAAAGCTTGTATTCTGGAAAGAGAGACAGACATTAAATGATTATACTCAAAATTAATTCATTACATTTTTTTAAAATCAGGACTCTGACATAAAGGGATATGGTACTAGGAGAATTATTAAAAGCAGGGAAAAACCTAGAATGGCAAGTTAGGATATTAAATGGCACACAGATTAGAGTTGCTGGATAAACAGAGTCACCAGGGCAAAATGGGGAGGAGGTGTTGTAGTGTGGTGGATAGCTTTGTGAGGTTAAGGGTGGAAGGAGAAAAATCAGTTAGGAGGCTGTCTTTGTCATCCCGGGGAGAAAGAATTGTAACTTGGACTGGAATGACAGTAGTGTAGAAGAGAAATAGATTGTATAGGAGATTTGGACTCAGAGGATGGCAATGTGGAAGATCAATGGACTGTGCAGGAGATTTGGGGATGCTAAACTAACATGACTTGATGGTGATAGATTAGAGTGAAGGATGGAAGGGATGTGTCATGGAGAACTGTAACCCTTTTGTTTTATACAACTGGGGGATCAGAATGCTGTTTATAGAGAGGGAGCCTTAAAGGATGACCAATTTTGGAGAGGAAGCTGGTGAGCTCAGTTTTTGTCATACTTTATTTCAGGTATACATAGAACATCCAAGTGGCAATGTTGAGTAGCAGTTGGATATGGGAAGACTGGGGCCAATGTTTGGAAATGGAAACCGTGGGCAGGGAATAGATGGCAAGAGTATAGAGCAGAGAGAAAAAAAAAAATAGGTCTAAGACTAAGTGAAAAAGAACTCCAGGATTAAAAATTAGGAGGAAAATGAATGGAGAAACTGGGAGTCAGTGTTCAGAGAGGCAACCAGAAAACCAGGAAGGTGAGCTGTCATTGTAGCATCCCAGGAAGGAAAGAGGCTCAAGAAGGTATCGGTCAGCAGTCACAAATATGGCTGAGTAGTCAAGTAAGATGTGGTTTTAAACTTGCCCATTGAACCTACTGTCCTCAAGGTGACTCGTGAGCCAAGCAAGAGTAATTTAAGGGAGAATGTTGGCATCACAGGTCATCCTGAAGAGGGTTGAGAGGAGAGGGGAAAGTGAGGTGAGGCAAGTAAACAATACTGGCTGTGAAAAGGAGGGGAATTCAAAACATAACAGGAATGACATACAGAGCCAAAATCATGACTCTCTTAAAGATAAGAGAGGTTATGATTAAAGCAACCAAGAGAAAAAATTCAAAATAGAGGCCAGCCACGGTGGCTCATGCCTGTCATCCCACAACTTTGAGAGGCCAGTGTGGGCAGATCACGAGGTCAAGAGATTGAGACCATCCTGGCCAACATGGTGAAACCCCGTCTCTACTAAAAATACAAAAATTAGCTGGGTATGGTGGCACGTGCCTATAGTCCCAGCTACTCTGGAGGCTGAGGCAGGAGAATTCCTTGAACCCGGGAGGCAGAGGTTGCACTAAGCCAAGATCATGCCACTGCACTCCAGCCTGGTGACAGAATGAGAGTCCATCTCAAAAAAAAAAAAAAAAAAAAAATCAAAATAGAAGAAAGAAGGAGAAGAGTGAGAAAGAGAGAGGAGATAACTGACAGTGGTAGGGTCCTGAAAGCAAGAGCAGGGGTGGGTTGAAAGGAGGGTTCTCTCGTTTTGTGAGAGAAGAGGAGAGGATGGAAATGTGCTAATGCTTTGTAGGGAGGAACTGAAGTGTCCGAATGGCTCTGTTTTCTTGAGAAGTGGGGTGAAGCCATCTACCAAAAGTGTAGTGGGGGACAAATTGCATCAAGAATTTGGAAAGAGAGGAGAAGCTTTAATCATGGAGAGTGGAAAGTAAGCAGAATAGAGAGATGAAAATTCTATTCATTCACCCGAGGGTCTATCTGGTGGAAACTGAGGAGGGTCTGTTTGATGGACGATAAGAAGGGTCTATCTGATGAAGATTGTGAGCATAAAACTCAAGCTAATAGATCTTGGTCTTTCCAAATTGGAGAAAATTCTCTTTTTCACACCAGATCAGATGAATGGAAAGGACAGATGAATAGTTGTTTTATAATTTATTTATTTTCTGGTTTATTCCCATCTTTTTCTTTTTATACCTGACACTTTAATATTTCTGAAATTACTGTGTATATTATACATGGTAGAAATCTAACTAGAATTCCTTACAATTTTCTCAATTGTAAAGGACAATTAATTGACCAGTCAAAACTTTCCCCGGTGATTTAAAATGCCATCTTACCACCATATTAAATTACTTTATATTCTAGCATATGTTGTTTGGTTTTCTGTTCTATTTCACTGAGTTGTAGCTTTTACTGTGACACTATTTCTCTGTTGCATTAAGATGACATGTTTTGATACTTGGTAGAACAAGTCTTTTTATTATTCTTCTTTTGCAAAGTTTTCTGAGGTATCCCTACCCATGTATTCTTCCAGAAGAATTGAGGAATAATTTTATAAAATTTTAATTATATTTCATCAAAAATTTTACTGCAGTTGCACTT